CGGGTACGCTTCCAAGTGAGATGTGCAACAATCTACCGAGCCTGACTTTTCTTACAGTGTCGAGCAATCAATTGGAGGGCCACATTCCACCAAATATAGGCAACTGCACAAATCTTGAGGTCCTTTCGTTATCCATCAACCGTTTCAGTGGGGAAATCCCAAGCGAAATTGCAAGGTTGAGCATGCTTAGGCTGTTATATCTACCACAAAACTATATATAATATCAAACAAACAAAAAAAATAAATATAACTAAGTCATCTTCATCTTTCCTAAGCATGCAGGTTCTCCACTGGGATCACTTTCATATTCCAGTATATATAAAATATATATTCATACCAAAATCTAAATTCAAGTAGAGCCCGTAATTCAGAGTGAAGTTCCCGAGCAGGCCCGCCGCGCCAGCTAGGAAGCATCGTGGGCCAATCCCCTCGTCAGGACCTAAGTGGTGTTTACAATCAGGACAAACATAAGCATAAGACACCAGAAATTTGGATGAAATAAAGATACCAACTACATAAGATAGAACTCGACTAGTGTAACCAATAGTAACAAATAAAATGTATCTACCACAGAAATTAGTTCCTACTGGAACACTATCCATTTGCAACATAGAAGCTTATTATACAACTACATAATAGAGTGTACAAGTAGAATTTTCAGTAAATCAGAAAAGCTTAGCCATCATATGTGAAAAAAACACACATATCACGATCCGCGAGAATCGAACTAATAAACCATTAATGCCCACAGTTAAATATTACTTTCCCCAGAAATCAAAGATCAGGCTGAATGGCTTATCATATACCATCAGATAAACAAGTGATTGATTTTAAGGGTATGAATAAGAACAGCAAAAACAGCGACAAGAGCGTCTGAAGCAGATGGAGTGAAAATACCGAAAAGGGCCTCTCCGATTTGGATTGGGGCAGACTGTGAAATTAATCTCCATTGCAGGACTTTGCTGATAGTTTCGGGTGCGTAGGAAAGAGATGGCCGCCGGTGCCTGCGAGAAGCTAAGCTTAGAGTCGC